TAGAATATCTATTTGAACAAATGTTTAACATGTGCCTGTAATTACTACAATGATTATCTTAAAAACAAATAAATAAATATAAAAGACGAAGTGAACCAAAATCTTATATTTAGAATCAAATTGAATATCAAATTCGCTTTTATATCAAGAACACGAGGTGGTATATTACATTACATATCTCTTTTTTTGGCATTAAAAAAATCCATTTATGCATCTCAACACTCCCATAAAAATTCACATGCTTATAATAAAATGAGATTGTAAAAAAAAATTCACCAAAAAAATGTTATACAACTGAAAATATAAATTTTTGCCCAAGATCTATTTTTTCGTCTTAAATAAAAAAAATCAATTATTCTGTTCATAATTTTACCTCAAATTTCTTAGTTGTTATGTTATATGTTTATTTTAGGGGAAATCACAAATAAAGACCCTCGAATTAGCAAAATCACTCTATGGTCACCTGAATATGCCAAATTACCATGAGGGACCCGGTCTCAAATTGCAAATAGCAAATGTTGGTGAAAAGACGAAATTGCCCCTCAGTGATTTGAACCTGCTGAACCCGCGGCACGTAGTTCCCCTACTATCGACAACTTCCCACTGTTCTCTACATTCTCCCTATTGTCTCCATTTTCGCGCACCTGCGTACTGCCATTTTGCCGTAAGAGTAGTGTGGAGAGGAGTGTTGAGACGGTGAAGAGCATATTTGCTGTGACAGAGGTGAACAAGCAGTGGTTTATTGGCATTGTGGAAGGGTTCAGAGAAGTCGAAGGCATCGTTGAATAGTGCGGCAGCAATCGCTTTAGGTGATCAGAGTTAGCAGCTACGTTGGGCAACTGATTGTAGTAAGTTTGTTGGCTAATTTTGTTTGGATTGGTTGCTGCAAGAATGTGCGAATGATTGGTGAGAGTAAAAGAGTTTAGGGTAGGAAAGTAGAAGTACCCAAATTTTGATTGAGTGATGAAGAATGTTATTTAACAGAAAAATATAGGTTTTTTCTGTTAAATAACCTGTGGGAATGGTATTTATGTGGGGAGGGAATGACAATATCAGTTTCGTAGATGACAATAATAGTAGGGAAAATAACGACATAGGATATAGTCAAGGGTAAATTTAATTGAAGAGGTACTAAGTGTGTTTTGTTATAAATGAGAAGGTGGATGGTGGGATTTGATAAGTTCTGTAACGAAAATGATAATTTAAGAATAGGAAATGACAAGTTGATTAATTGGGAATCAGAAGATGTCAATGCGAAACTGACAAGTTGGTAATGGGAAATAACAAGGTTATAACAGTGAATAACAAGATTTGTATGCGGAAGTAAGAATTTGATAATAGGAAATGACTTGTTTGAATAACAAAGCTGAGTATGACAATAAGACAAGTTTATCATTTCAAATGACAAGTTAAACTACTAGTGTATGATCAGAAATAACAATTATGATAAGTATGTGGGAATAACAAGTTGAGCTTAAAGAATTGACAACTTTTGTAGAGAGAATAAAAAGTTTATCATAGGCGTTTGATTGACAGAACGAGTATTGACAGAATTGTTGTTAGTCAGTTAATAAGTTGTGTTAGTGAACTATTGTATGTTGAATATTTTGCAGGAAAAAGGACATGGCATCTGAGGGAGCCTCCGGATCAAAGTCGACACACAATGGCTGGTTGCTATTCAGAAGGGAGTATTTGGCAACATTAGGTGATAGTGATATCAGAGGCAAACAAAAAAGAGACGCTGTGTCAAAGGCATGGAGAGCTTTGTCTGATGAGGAGAGGAAGAGGTACACAGAGGAGGCGAAGAAAAGAAGGCCAGAAAAGATTGAAGAGGAGAAGAAAAAGAAATATGTACCATCATTTTTAACCCGAGTGTCCTTGAAAGGTTTTAAGAAATTACTGCACTTTGTGAATAATAATGATGAGTTAAGGGATAGGGTGGAGAGGATAGGATTTGGAAGCTTGTTGAAGGTTGGATTGAAGAGACTTCCCCGCAATCTCCTTGTGACTATGCTAAGATCATATGACCCACCAACACATCAATTTACAATACGGGGGAAAACTGAGGAAATAGGAGCAAAACATGTTGACAAGCTCCTAGGAATACGCCATGGTGGGGAGAAGATTAAAATTGAAGTTTCGGAGGATGATGAAATGTACAAGAACTTGAAGAATCAGTATCGGAGAGTGCCATTCAGCAAAATACTAGATGACATTATTTCTGGGGAGGAAGATCACAGATTTGAATTCTTGTTTGTCCTATACACGCTGGGTACCTTTCTATGTCCGTCATCTAGCTCAGAAGTGAGTGAGCGGCTGGTGAGAGTCATGCGTTCCACGATGGATGACTTTGGAAAGTATGATTGGGCAACACATGTTATGGAGGACCTATGGAAAGAAATGGCTGACTTTGTGAAGCTGTATAGATAGGGTAATGATGGGCAGGGGAGCAGTACTGTTGGTGGCTGCGTATACTTGCTTCTGGTATGACTATTTTGTTTCTCACTGTGCAATACTTTATTGGCAATATGAACAATGTAATTGGTGATGATATGTGGTGTTGCAGCTTTTTTTCGGTGAGCATTTTAACCTCATTCAAGGTTCACAGCGAGGCTCCACCAGTGCTATCCAATACTGGACAGATGAGAAGATCAAAGAATTGGCAAATACTGAGAGGAAGAGCGTTAGGGGGCTGTTGTATGGTGAGAAAGGGAGTGATGTTGTGTTTGGCAAAGACGAGAGGATAAATGTTGATTCTCTGGACCCGGTATGTATATCTTTGGTAGAGTGATATTCTTGGTGAACTTCTTGTTTGTGATAGTTACGTTGTCATTTGATAAATTGACTTGGTATATATAAAACTTATGTTGTGATTAGGTTTAGTGAAGTTGTCATTTGTTATAGTTGACATTGTTACTTGATAAACTTAACCTGTTAAAAACGGTACCAAAGTTGTGATTGGGTAATGTGAACTTGTCATTCGGTAAAGTTCAGGTTTGGGTTGTTATTTGATAAAGTTGTTATTGATTATGCCTGAGTTGTGATGGGGTCAAGTGAACCTGTCATTTGTTACAATGTAGTTGTTATTTGATGTATCGAAGTTGCTAATTATAATTTATTAGTTGTGATTGGCTAAACTGAACTAGTCATTTGATATAGTAAAGTTGTTATCTGACATACCAAAGTTGTTATTTATACTACTGATGAACTTGTTATTCGCAATAGGGAGAGGTTGTAATTTGTTATAGTGTAGTAAGCTTGTAATTTCATATACTGAAGTTGTTATTTATAATATTTAACTTGTCATTGGGTAAAGTGAGCTTGTCATCTGCAATAGTGAGATCATGATGTGGTATAATTATGTTGCTAGTAAATTGATAAACGCCATTGTCATGCAGGAGCTGAAGCAGTTGCGTGCACGATTAATGAAGAGGATAGAAGAAAGCCATCAGAGGCTGATGAATATGGTAGATGAGGAGCTGTTGAAGGTGCACATTCCAAGAGAGGCAGATGGGAAGAGAAAAGGAAAGGCTCCTGCTGAGACACTCGCATCAATTGTTAGTGGGTCTGAAGATGACGATGAAGAGGAGAGACAGCATGCTGGTGAGACTAGTGAAGCTGTGCAGAAGAATGATGGAGGGAGTGATGGTGAGAGTAGTGAGGAGAAGGAGAAAGATGACGAGGGGAGTGATGATGAGACAAGAGAGGAGGAGGAGGAGGACAAGGAGAAAGGTGACAGGGGGAGTGATGATGGGACAAGTGAGGAGGAAGGCAAGGAAAAGGATGATGGAGAGAATGATGAAGATAGTCAGGACAAGGATGAGGGACAGAGTGCACAGAAGGACAATGATGAAATGGAGGGTGACATACCCACGCCTACTACCCCCATAAACCTGTCATCTAATGTTGAAGGTGATGATGCGGAGGGTGACAGAGCCGTCACTATATCCCCCCTAGCAATTGTCAAATATGTTGACCCTGTTGAGAGGCAAACCCCCATCAGGGTGGAACCTTTGACAGCAGCTGAAGGTGTGCAGGCACAACAAGTAAGGAGATCTAGCAGGGTTCGCTTCAACAAAATTAAGTCTCCTTGGTTGGAGTTGAAGGCACAAACAAGGTTGAAGAGGCCTGCAGAGGATAAAGACATTTTCTTCACCATTGTCAGCCGAAGTGTGAAAGGTGATGAAGGCGACTAGTAAGTATTGTGATACTCAGCTTTTGTGATGGGGTTTTATTATCACTTGTTAACATAACCCATATGCTAACTCACTTCAACCATTGTCAGTCCTTTGATTAAAATGTATGATGAAGATATTACCCGACGCTTGCTGCATTCTCTTGGGGGAAATAACAGAGTTAGTAACAGGGTCATGTCATTAGTTTGTAAGGCCGTGGTGGATGAGCAACAGGCTGTGGAAGGGCGTGTAAGGAGGCATATTTTTTATGCGGACTTCATGGTGAGGTTTCTTCATTAGTTTGTGAAATGATAAGTTTGTATATGAAAATTACAAGTCCTCAAAGGCAAATGACAAGTGTAGTATATAAAGTAACAACACTGTTAAGGCAAATAACTGTCTAAAGAAACTAATTGCAAACTGACAAAATCAATTTGTGTTCTTTATTAGGAGTTAATGATCCGTGACCCAGCTCGGTGGGACCCTAACTACCATGCACGACAAATAATTCCTCAATTTGTCGGGTACAACATAGGTGACTGTGACTTGGTTATGGGTCCTGCACTTGTTGGTGAGCACTGGTTTTGCTTTGCCCTTGAACCCAACACCATGAAGTTCTATGTCCTGGATTCCATGCGAGGAACTGTTCAGTCTAAGAAGACCACAACTAAGAAGAAGCAAGCAGTCACCTATGACCCTCAGGAAATGGCCATAGCAGGATGTGTAAGAATCACCTGGGCATATTACATTGTATTATTATTGTCTGAAATTATAGTGATGTTGATGAATATCTGATATATGTGTAGAGAGAAAGGTTCCACGACATTATTGGCATGGTTAGGCCAGATTTGACTGAGAAAATGCCAAATTTGGAAATTGTGCGGCCTGATGTACCTCAACAGAGTAATTTGTGAGTATACATACACTGCACATGTAATTTGCTGATTTCCTATATTTATTCTCGAATTGTTAAACTGTGATGGTGGTGTTGTTCCTAGGAGGGACTGTGGGGTGCATGTCCTAATATGGCTCAGCAGATGGGAACCCAATCTTCCACTAGAATACACCCAGGTGATGTGGTTTGCTTAATTGTTGTGACTGGTAAAGGGGCAAAGTAAGATTAACTTGCTGTTGAATCTGTTTTGCAGGGAGATGTGGCAGCTTTTCGGCGTGATCTGATGTGGTGGCTGGTGAACCATGATAACAATGAATGCCGTGAGGATACGCTGAATCTTATTCCACATCCACAGAAGGGGCGAACGTCCAAAAGGAGGAGAAAGTCCCTATAGAAAAAGAATTTGGGCCATGAAGGACATTGACTGTAGATAATGTTACTGCGTTATCATTATGTGTAGTGAACTTGTTGTCTGGCCTAACTGCTACCCAGTTATGACAATTAGTAATGGTGAAATGACATTTTTATTGACATCATTGAAATTGTGTTCAAGTGATGCTATTTCCACTTTTCTTTAACGTATGACAACATCAATATGCCAATTAACAAGTCCATTAAGCAATATATGAAGTACCTTTTTTTTATGAAATGACACTATTTCCACTTTTGTTTAACATCTGACAACTTCAGTATGCTAAATAACAACTCCGGTTAAGCGATACATGAACTTCAATTTTTTCGAATGAAGTTACAGTATTTCTACTATTGTTTGACGAGTGACAACTTCACTTTGCGAAATAACAACTTCGGAAGTGGAAGCGGCGAAGTTCATTTTTTTCCTGTTTAAATGACAGGCTTTCCACTTTTGTTTACCCAGTGACAACTTCACTTTGCGAAATAACAACTTCGGAAGTGGAATCGGCGAAGTTCATTTTTTTCCTGTTTAAATGACAGGCTTTCCACTTTTGTTTACCCAGTGACAACTTCACTTTGCGAAATAACAACTTCGGAAGTGGAATCGGCGAAGTTCATTTTTTTCCTGTTTAAATGACAGCCTTTCCACTTTTGTTTACCCAGTGACAACTTCACTTTGCGAAATAACAACTTCGGAAGTGGAATCGGCGAAGTTCATTTTTTTCCTGTTTAAATGACAGCCTTTCCACTTTTGTTTACCCAGTGACAACTTCACTTTGCGAAATAACAAGTTTTGTTAACCAATTGGCAATATCAGTATGCCAAATAACCACAAAGCACAGGTGGTTTGACAGCAACCTCTATTTGCTGATATAACAAGTAAGCAGTCTGCATTTACAATACAACCAAGGGAGTTTACAGCAATACTAAGTCAAATAACCACAAAGCACATGTGGTTTGACAGCAACCTCTATTTGCTGATATAACAAGTAAGCAGTCTGCATTTACAATACAAGCAAGGGAATTTACAGCAATACAATGTCATTTAGCAAAAAGTAAGAGGTCCGTTTACAACAACCAGATTTTGCAATAGTCAATAACAAAAAGACATTCACAACGTCGTTGACTTCTTTTTTCCTTGTCAGCAAACATATTACTTGCAAAAATAGCTGTGTAGCTATGCAACTAGCAACACCCTTCTCCCAAAAAAATTAAGAAGAGTGGAGCGTATATACACCAAAAAATTAGTTGTCGCTTGTAGAAATGAACTTCAAAATGGGTTGGGATTTTTGCAACTCCTCCTTGTGTGTCCAGGTTGGTGGCATCTGGTGCAATGGTAGACTTTTTTGTTCTGGAATTGTGATTCCTGCCGTTTAGTCCTTGGTCTTCCAGGAGGCCTACTTGTATTTGGTGGTAAAAGCAGGGTTTGTTCAACAAGATTCTCAAACATATAGTCATTTGGGTTAGGCATATCGATTGTTACCACTGGAACCATGCTCCTGCCATATATTTTCTCCTGTGCTGAAATTTTGTAACAATCTTCAACATATTCATATACATTTCCCCCCACAGTCTTAATGGCTGCACAAGCATGGCAGCATGGAATTCCTGACATTTGCCAACCAAGACAACTACATTGGTGTAGACCAAGGTCTACTCTTTGATCTCCACGAGATGTATGTACACACAGTCTTCCGCCTCCATAATTGTCACAGCTCATATACCTACTGAAATACACACATATATGATGCATGCATCTTCCTTGCTACTTTCTCCCGATGCTCATGGATCATTTGCGCCACATTATGCTTTCTCTCCTTCACCATCCAAGAATTGAAAGACTCAGCTATATTGGTTGTTATATTGTCCCATCTTTTAAATGGAAACTTGCTCATTGCCCACCTATTCACATCACCTTGATTGATAACCCAATCATGTAACTCAGGAGACATAGTTCTCAGCTCTGCCATTGCATTATCAAAGTCACTATCAACCCTTGCATAAGCTACTCTATCAAGAACCTTTAATGCATCTTCTTTTGACCATTGGCTTGTCCTTTTACCTCTGTTTACTTTCACTTGTTCAGCGCTGAAGTTTTCCTTCACATGCCTATAACAATACGCATGTCTTTCACCTCCAAATATTGCTTGGACAGCTCCTATTATGGCATTGTGTCGGTCTGACACAATTGTCACCTGCACCGAACCAACAATTTCTTTAATTTTGAACAGAAACCAAGTCCAGTCATCAAGGTTCTCTGATTTCACCACTGCTATTGCAAAAGGCAACAAGTCATTATCTGCATCATATCCCGACGCTGAGAGTAGTGTCCCCTTATATGGACCACTTAAATGAGTTCCATCAACATATAATATAGCCCTTGCACCACTCAAAAAACCCTCAATACACGAACCATATGCAATGAAAATCCGCTCAAATGTATTACCAATGGAAGCCCATTCAGCAACTGTTTTATCATCAGTTTCCTTTAATCTTTGGCATATCCATGGTATGAACATATAGGATTCTTCTGGTTTCCCATGTATGTGTTCCATGGCCTTTTCCTTTGCTCTGTAAGCTTGAGCATATGTTAGCCTCACACCATATTCCCTTTCCAGTGTCTTCCTTATTTCAGTAGGACGCTTTTCGGTGTGGTTCCTTATCTCCTCAAGTATTATTGATGACGTCAACGCAGCATTGCCAGCAAAAGTGACATCTAGGTTTTCTTGCGCTGAATGAATGTGTTCATTAACGAATGTGGTCACGCGTAATAAAAGAGTATCCCTCCCAACAGCATTTGCACAAATCTTCCATGGACACCCTTCCACTTTACACCTCACATTCATCTTCTCCCTACTGTTTCTCACATATGTCGTTGCAAACTTCTGTGCAATACTAAACCTGTACACAGCCTCCCTAAAAGCTTGGGCATGTGGAATATATTGCCCCACTCCTGCAAAAACTCCAACCCATTTCATGCAATTCAAATTACCCCTCAATGTCCCTTCACTCCCTGAACCGTCACTGAAGTTTGTCTGACTTAAACCCCCTCCTTCATACGTTAGGCATTCAGCACCATAGTCAACAATGAGTGGTTCATAGTTATCACCAAGGTTCACCACACCTTCAGTCATTTCTCCCGACAGCCCAAACAAATTCTCACCCCTACACCCATAATAACAACGTTCGAATAGAAATTAGCAACAACACATTAGCAAATAACAACATTCTACTGTAACAAAGTTAGCATAATAACAAGATTTGTATGGGAAATATCAACAATTCATTATAAAATAACAACTTACTACTGTAACAAACTAAGCAATATAACAACATTTGAATGGAAATTAGTAACAACTCATTACCAAATTACAACTTCCAACCGCAACTTCATTACCTTAATTACAAGATTTATATCTAAATTAACAACAATTCATTACCAAATAACAACTTTCTACTGCTGCGCAGTGCACATGATAACAACATTTCTTTGGGTATTAACAATAATCCATTACCGAACAATAACTATCAACTGCAAAACTTTAACCACTTACATTTCTCCATCATTCACTGCTCCACCTTCCTTCTGGTTCCCTTTCGCTGCTACATACAAATGAGCACTGCTATCGTTATATCTAAACATATTGCAAATATCACCTTCATCATAAAGATCAACCAGTGTGCCCTCAGCAAACTTAACCGTGTACTTAATTTCGCACCCTTTAGCATCATTGTGTACCAACTGTGATATTGTTCCTCTTAATTCCTCCAGTGTTATCCCTTCTTTTATGCTGCTTGCTCTCACACTCCCTCTACCGTATTTAACTTCACCTTCACTGTTTCTTTCAAAATACCCACCAACATGGAAAAAACAAAACAATTCCTTCCAACAGCTTGACCCATTGTAACAGTTCATTTTGTCATCCTAACCTGGAACAACAATTTACATATAAAAAAAATATATTAGCTTCACTATACTTTTATTCAATCAAATTTGAATTTACAAATCAAGACCAACTAACTCTTCTCTTCCCCACTTGACATTAGGGTTTTACAAGTTGGACATTCTAAATGACAAGATCTTTACTCCTCTCCCCCCACTGCACCACCGTTAACTTCATACTCAAACTAATAATTATTACCTCCTTCCATTTCCCCTCCCCCACTCTCCCATTCGTGATATTCCTAACAGAGATCAGTGGCAACCTGCGTCATGAAAATCACAGGTCAACAATCTGACTACAAAGACTAATATTTTGAATCTCAACCCAACCGAACCCTCCTTAAACAGTATTATTCCATGATCAACTCCACCGCTCACTCCCTCCATACCTATCACCCAACAACCCACAATGCCACTCACCACATTCAAGAACAACATCACATTCCTCGGTCTTACAGGGTAGAGAAGAAGAAGAGTATACTTAGAAACATTACAAGCATTACTTACTTGATTCTCAACCATGTGCACCACTAATCTTCTCCTCCAAGCTCTCCACGATCACATTGTTTGTCTCAGCCTTCATTAATGAATCTGATTGACTGAGGGGCAATTTCGTCTTTTCACCAACATTTGCTATTTGCAATTTGAGACCAAGTCCCTCATGGTAATTTGGCATATTCAGGTGACCATAGAGTGATTTTGCTAATTCGAGGGTCTTTATTTGTGATTTCCCCTTTATTTAAAAAAAAAAAAAGAAACTGCTGTTATTGTGCATAGTCATTATGATTTGGGAATGTAACGCCAAGCACATGAGAGGAAACTGAGGCATATTAGCCGTTGCCCCTACAATGCAACGGTCACCTTTTTTCAATTGACGAATATTCAAAAATCAAACTCACAAATCCTCTAACTCTAATATGCCAAATCCTCAAACCCTTTAATTCCCTCTTCTTTCTCTCTATAGACCCCACTTCACTCTCCCCCACCTCCCACAAACTCAGATTCTCTCTGAAGAGTGAAGGTTTGATCACTACCTTCTTCACCCTCCTGCGTAATGGCCGAGACGCAGTCTCTACCGGCGGTTGCAGAAATGAAAATCCCAGTGTTCACAGTGCTCAAGAATGGGGCTATTCTCAAGAACATCTTTATCGTCAACAAATCACCTGAACCACAACCGCTAGCTTCTTCCGTTCAAGATCACAACAACCAGGACCACATCTTAATCGTTGGGCGGCATCCTGATTGCAACATCATGCTCACTCATCCCAGTATCAGCAGATTTCACCTCCAGATTCGGTCCAACCCTTGTTCGCAGAAGCTCATTGTGGTCGATTTGTCTTCCGGTAAACCTTACTAGCATTGACATGTTCGATTCTGTAGCTTTTTTTGTGTTCGAGATTTTTTTTTTTCTTATTAGGGTTCTTGAATCCTGATTGCTTCTTGGTCGTGGTAAGTGCATGGGACGTGGGTATCGGGGAGGAAGATTGAACCTGGTATGAGTGTGCAATTGAAGGAGGGCGACACAATGAGAATTGGGGCTTCCAGTAGGCTTTATCGGCTGCATTGGATTCCCATAAGCCGTGCCTATGATTTGGAAAATCCCTTCGTGTCGGAATTGGACATGGCTGTGGAAGCAGAAAAAGGACAGGAGGACGATGCGTTGCCCGAAGAAGAAGAACAAGAGATGACGCAGGTACGAATTCAGGCTTTAGAGTTCTATCGGTGAAGAGGTTAGAGTCTTGAAAACTCTTTATTTCTTCTTTTTCAATCGTATTTACATTTAACTTTAGTTAAATCAGTCCGCTGATCTTACCTGAAGTTTTAATTTGATGTTTTGAGTCTAAAAATCCGTATTTGAGTATCATATCTGTAAAAGTGTTCCACTTAGCCCCTGTTATGGAATTTGTGTAAAGTTGAATTGTGTTAATATGATGACTAATGCTTTGTCTTTGAAATCTTAAATATACATTAGAAGATAAAATTACATAAACAAAAAGAAAAATCTTTTCAAGTGAGTTGCATATATTTCATTGTGACCCACCATAGGATGATAGACTCCTAGTAATGCCTAATCCAAAAGTCAATTAAGGAGCTTGTGGAAGCTCTCCAAGAGAGCCAGCTATGATGGCATTGTCATTAAATTGTGCCTTTCTTTGAGGAAGCTCAAGGTGTATTGTGAATCTGGCAAGGATAATTTGTTCAGAGTTTTCAGGACTCTAGCTTAAACAGGAGAATTGTGCTTGTATCGATGGTTGTTTGTAAACTAAGTTTATCATCCTGAGTCCTCACTCTACTTGTCTCTCTTTGGCGCCTGCAGAATGAAAGCTTTAGTCCGGTAGATAACGAAGAAGTTCAATCAATGGATTCAATACTGGAGTCTATCAATTGTTTGTTCACTGGTGAGAATTTAGAATACAGTGCGAAGAAAACAATTCCTTCAGAAGACTGCATTTCTTTGCACCGTGATGAAGAAGAGAATTGCCCAAATGATGACCACCTAGAAGATAAAACTACTAGTGGCCTCCTTGGAACTGAAACATCATATTTGGCTACAAACTCTCTGAGTGAAAACGAAGTGTGTGACACAAAATTCCATGCTCTATTGCCTCCTCGTGTAGAATCAGTATATGAACGTAGTAATCTGAATAATACTTCTGAGGGACCACAGAGAATGCTTGATTTTTCTGTAAACGTGGAATCTTTATTCCATGTTGTAGGGGAAAATCAGGCCTATTCTGGAGCAGAGGTTCCCAAAGAGACCAACATTTTAAGCACATTGGGCGATTATTTGAGAGAGAGCTTATGTTTGCCAGTTGTTGAAGCTGTCCAAGGGACCAAAATGCTGCAATATCAAGATGTTCGGCAAAATGCTCCATTCGGTACATTTACTTCACAATTACCGCCTATTGAGCAGAAGGTTCCCTTCGACAAGCATAGGTCCAAAAAGCTAACAAATCTAGATCCTGCGTCTTCTGATATAACAGGTGCAGCTGTAGCAGTTGAAATGCCTAAAGAAACTGGGTCTGGATGCACACTGAGAGATAATGATGGAGGGACACACGTTCTAACAACAGGAGCAGAAAACCTCTTAACTGAGAATACTTTCTTGCCGGTTGAAGAAGCTACTCAAGAAACCAAATTTCAACTAATTGAGGTTGCTTTGGACTCAGTATCTGGTAGTGAGGAACAAATTAATTGTTTCCTAGATCATAAGTCAAACTTCAAGCCACACCAGAATTGTATCCCCCGTAATGAGAAAGGGCAGTCAATGGATGGAATCGTTCAAGATGTTGGAGACGAGTGCAACAATAACATCCCTCTCATTTCACTTCCAGCAGAATCCTCAATTGCATCATTGTCTGAGGACTCTGTCATGGAGATTTCAAACAAGAAAGAGAATCAGACCCAGCGATCTCTTGATGTTATGGCAGGATGCTCTGAGAAGAAAATTCTTGAAAAAGGTGTAGAATCTATCGAAAAAAATTTCATGTGTAGTAATATTTGGTCAAGAAGAGGTAAAGCAACGAGTGCCCCTCAGATTCGAACCAGCAAGAGTCGAATGAAGAACACAGCTAATGTTGTTGACAATGAAGTTGAAACGAGCTATCAGAAGGGTATTAAAGAGAAAGCGAAAGCCAAGGATACTTTGTCTATTTTAGATGGGGAAGAAGAAGAAATGTTTACTCCAGATAAGGAAAATTTCAGCCCAAATACTCTTCAATTGCGGTTTCAGAAGAAGGGTAAGCTGGAAGAAATTAAACACTACAAGTCACGACAAAGGTCACACATTTCTGAGAATCACTTGAGCCCTAAGATCTATCTGGGAGAGATCCCCATTTCAGAAAATGAAAACCAGACTCTAGAAGTTGTCCAAGAGCAGAAGTCAGAAAGAAAGCCATTTGGCAGTTATATTAAGTTGGAGAAAAATGCGATGGATATGAGCAATCAGAAGGATATCACAGATAAAACAGTTCCAAAGAATATTTTAGCTGAATTGGATGAGGAGGAGGAAGAATACCATACTCTAGATAAGGAAAATTTTAGCCCAAATACCCTTCAATTGCTGTTACTGGGGAAGAAGGGTAAACTAGATGAACTTACACAGTCCAAGTCACGAAAATCGCACAGCTCAAATGCTAATTTTAGCTCCAACACCACTTTAGGAAAAGAGAACCAGACTTCAAAAGTTGCCAGAGAACAGAAGTCAAAAAGAAGACCCTTTGGTAATTGTATTGAGTTGGAGCAGGAGCAAGATGCTATGGCGCGCGAAAACAGCTTAGAAAGGTCACCCTTACAATCACTACTAACGAGCTCTCGAGGCAAGAGCAGAGCAGAGACATCTCACTCTGTTTTTGCTGCAGAAAACATCAGTGCCAATACTTTTGCCCAAATTTTGGATAAGAGCAATAATCCTTACGTAAGTTGAATTAATTGTTGGTTTATTGGGAGTAGTTCAAGAGTTCGTTTAGCATATATGATTTACATGCGTTTTTATTCGCAGCATGTTAGTAAGAGGAGTTGGAACATGGTTGTGGACACTGCATCTCTTCTGAACAAGGAATCTAGGAAAGCTCTGATGCTTTTGGAAGGTCTCAAGGGCACTCGTTTAATCATTCCAAGGATAGGTAACGACGTTAATATATATTTATATATAACATTTTTACCGTATTGCACAAATCTGATTCTTAGTCACTCTGTATCTTCAGTTATAAAAGAACTGGACAGCATGAAGCGGCAGTTTAGTTTCTTTAGAAGACCATCAGAGGCTTCTTTGGCATTGGAATGGATTGAGGAATGCATGATGAAGACAAAGTGGTGGATTCATGTCCAAAGCTCAATAGAGGAGGGAATGTTGATTGCTCCCACACCACCTGCTACTCCACCGGCTCAATTTGATGAAGAGGGTTGGAATCTTTACCTTTCATCCCACAAGAGCTCAATGGAAATTGTTTCACCGACAGCGGAGGATCATATCCTTGACTATGTTCTTACATATAGAAGAAAGCAGAACGATGGACAGTTTGTCCTTCTTAGTGACGATGTCACCTTGAAAATCAAATCCATGGCAGAGGTAGAGTACTTTTTTTTCCTAGTCTTTGCAACTGCATTTACTCCCCCCCCCCCCCCGACCAAGAAGGAATTCTCTTTCCATTTAAGAGAAATGAAAATCAATTCACCCAAAAAGAAAAATAAATTTTCCGGCTTGGTCATGCATTGAACACAGATGACTCCATGTTGACTCCAATAACAGGATAAATGACCAAAATAAAGTAGAACTGAGACTAAAAGACCCCGTTTTGATGAAATATAGTGATTTGCACATTTTTCTTTTGTCGTTTCATTTAGATTGAACAATATAAACATACGACGAGATTGCGTATATTGTATTGTAGTGTGTCATATATATTTTTGAAGTTTGTGTCGATGATTGTATTGCATCAACTGTGCACGCCGGAAGAAAGATAATTTTAAGATCTTGATAGGCTTTCGGATGTTGCAGGGGTTGCCATGTGAGACAGTTGAGGAATTTCGTGATAGTCTAGTGAATCCATTCTCTGAGAGGTTCCTGTGGGCCGATAGCTCACCTCGAGGACAGACTTGGTCTTGCCAGGATGATGTCGTTTTAAGGGAGAAATATTGTCATTCCCCTTCAAGGAAATCATCAAAGGGGGAGGGTGCTAAGGGTCTGAAGCTTATTCTGCTTCACAATTCTCGCTATGGCCGACTCAATTCTGCCCGCTAAACAGCTCGGTTTAGCCGTACAATCCATTTGTTGGCTCTTCTATACATTTTTCTTGTGAAAAATTATAGTTGTATTGAATCTAAAATGCTGTGACTGGTTGCTGTTCATGAATATATATTGGATAAGCTTCTAGGAGATGCAAGGCTGAGTTTTGGTCTGTTCAATTCTGCTTGATTGTACAAGAACCTTGTTTAACAGCCCTGGCAATATAAAATCGTAATTGGGAATGTAAAGATGTTCTTGGGAGAATGGTATTAAACTTGTATTATTACGTCAATTAAGTTTTGCGCGACACAAAAGTTGAATCATATGTAAGCACTGGTTGTGTCGGTTTAATTCCAAACATCAATGTTAAATGGCTGAGAGGGTTTGCCTGTATACTTTGATTTGCTTCCCCCCGGTCAGTGCCGAAGTTTTGGGCATTATCGAAGGGCTCAATCTTTGTCGGGATATGGGATTGAAGAAGGATGGTGTTTTCTCAGATTTTTGGCTGAAACAACGAAAATGATCACTTGTGGCATCCATGAACCTCAGAGTGATTTTTGTACAATCAACTTTCACGTGTCAACTTTGACTATTTTTCGATTAATATAATATCCAATTTTGAATCATGCATCATATCTAAAAATTTAGTCATTGTTAGAACACAATAATATCATGCGATCTGTGCAACCAACCCCATGTAGTAGAATAAAGCTGCTTGTATACACAATCGTAGGCTGTTTTTCATGGAAAAATGCCGGTTTCCTTTGGCTAACACAGTGACTATACATTGTAGTTTCGGTTTGAATAAAGAATATAAACTTTAAGGAAATATCTGTCTATATATGGAATTGCAAGTACATGAGATTACTATGCTTTACAAATTTCAATGAAATCAGTAAAGTAATCCCTTCACGATCTAAAACTAGAGCATCATTATCATCATCATCATAAATTATCACAAGATTCACACCAGATTGTCAGAACCTGCTGCTCCCCCAGATTTAGGAGAATAATTGAAGGATTCGGACATGAGAAAAGGAAATGAGCCTTCGGCGTCGTCAAACGGGGGTCGAGGAAAATCATTGAATTCACCGAAGTTACAGGTTTCAAAGTTCAATGATGAGAGGTAACTGATAGGATCATCAGCAATACCTTTCACATCCATAATGTTTTGAATTCCATTTTCACAAGAAGCATTTGATCCAAAGCTCAAGTTAATGCTTCCTCCGTTATTATTATTATTGTTCTCCTTGATTTCCATGTCAGCTAGCCCAGCTGGTGCTTTTGATTCATCCAAGGGTATTGCTGGTGTATGGCCTTGAAACAGAGCAATGTGCCCAAAAAGCTTGTCTTTCCTTGAGAATGTTGTGCCACATGAACATAGCCATTTATCCTTACCACAGTGCTTTTCATGAGTTTTAAGGTCTGCCATGACCGAAAATTTCTTGGTGTGGCACCTGCTGCAAATGTAACTCTTGTCACAGTGACTTCTCTTGTAATGGTTTTTCACACATAAAATAGTCTTTAGAGGTTGAAACTTTTTGTGATCCTTATTACGCTTGCAGCCACGGTAGGGACAGGAATATCTCTTTATGAGCTTTGGTTCAGACACAGATTCTTTGTTAGGTTTTGCTAGCGCTTCCGGGGTTTTATACTCATCACCATGGCCTCTCATATGCATCCGAAGATTTGCATCTCTCTTGAATCCCTTTCCACATATTGTACAGAAATGTGTATGAGGAGCAAGGATTTCTTCTTTTTCTAGCTGTAAAATCTCAAAGGAACCCGGCGGAAGGTTCTCGCCTTCCTCCACATCCTCTTCATCTTTTGATTCATGTTCTTCCACGTGGTTTTGCTCCATTTCACACATATTTGTAGGATCAGCCTGGTTGGACTGTTCAGGTCTTTTGTCTCTGATATTATGTTGTGGTGGGATACTACTACTAAGATCCAATGCAGAAGGAAAAGTAACACCAGGAATCTGGCCATGCTGTCCGGCAGATGAACTGGCATTTGAATTAAGCCTGACAGAAGGAAGAAGACTTCCAGCTGTAGAGATCAATTGAACAATAATTGATGTCAGATTTGCAGTGACAAGCTGCTTCTCTTGACTTATAAGTTCATCAGGTTGTCCAAATTGTTGACCTTTCTGATCAACAATCAAATGCACCAAACCCTGGAGCTGATGAATCTTATCTTCCAGGAAAGAAAGATTTTCCAACATTATGGTAGGATCCCAATCTTGGAGTTTACCGGTTCGTGATGTGTCGCCAATCTGACAACTTTCTTGATTAGGGATCTTGATCTCATTGCTGGAATCACGCGGAAGCAAAAACTGGGCTCCACAGGCTTGGTTGAATTCTTTAAACAGGGCTTCCATCCGGATACTGTAATCTGACATAGAGGGATCTTCCCACCTCTGTTGACAATTATGCTGCAAAGTGAAATCTGGAAGAGAGGGTGGATTAGAGGAAACTTTTGCCTGCATTTGATTCTGAGGGGAGATTAGGGAAGAGGACGTTGACCAGGTGTTAGCACAAAGGCTCGCCTCAGATCCAGTATAAAATCTGCACCTCAGGTATCCGATTACTGCCAAATCAAATCTACAACAAATTAGGAAATAGCCATGAACATCAAATATAATCTGCACAAGCCCAAAAAAAAAAAATACAAGCTATAAAAATAAAATAGAAATCCATGCAACAAAACCTTCATCAAAACAATAGTTATCAAGAATCATTAATGACATCGAGTTCATGAAGCAAAAGTCTCTGACATATCAAAGCACTAGTTGGTAGAAAACTGAATATTCACTTCAGAGAAATAGCTTCACCCAGGTCTCCCAAGATTAGAAGTATAGACTTTTCAGTTTCACTTTCAGATTGAACTGCAAGGGTTTTCAATATTTCTTTCTTCACTTTGAGCAATTATCCCATCACCAAACAAGCGAAAACCAACCAGTCAGTCAACAGGAAACTGTACAAGCCATTCTCATTTCAAGAGATCTAGAGTTTCAATTCTCTTTCAAATGGCATAAAATCAATCGAATCTGTTGTCTATAATATTTTCACCCCTTTTAATAAGTAATTACCCTAAATTTCTTTATCTATTTAAATTAGATGTGGCCGGAAATCAATTTAGACAAACCCCACCAATCAATCGATTCAATGTTCACCTCAACAAGATGCTCAGAAGCATGAAGAAGGAGGAGGAGGAGGGAGAAGATGAGGCAAGCCTTCTAGACTACTAACCCTAGAATCAGCATATAAAAATCCAGATTCCTGAGAACTAATTAAAGATAGATAAACTTACAAATCCAAAGCTGAATAGATGAGCGGCGATTTATTTCTGCACTCTAACAGATTAACACAAGAACACAAAACAAATTAACAAAATGAAGAATGAGAAAGGAAAAAACCCGAGAAGCTGAACTGAATGCTTAAATAAGCAGCTTGTGTGACCAAGATCGTTCCTTTCTTTCTTTGTCCAACACAGTAAAAGTTAAAAACCCACTGGTCAACCCCACCACTGTGTATTTTCTTGGTCAATTTTGGAGAATATATTTTATTTAAAAAAATTATCTGATTTCACTACCCATCATGAAATTGAATAGGGGTCAATTAATGGTGATTGGATTAAGTAAAAAAAAAGATTTTTTTAAGTAGGTAATAAAAATTAAAACTACTTTTATCTAGATTCTTTCTATCAAAAGAAAAGTGGGATCATTGTCTTATGAGCTGGGCTGGGGGATGAATCAATGGGAGCCATAGGTGAGGGTATTGATTAGAATGAATGAATTTTTTGGGCAGAGATGAATTAAAAATGGAAGGATTGAGAGAAGAAAGAGACAAGAGGTTGGAGTTCTGATTGGATATCAGAAGAAGGGTCCCACACTCTTTGGCTTCATTCTTAGGTTGTTTGGGAATCGGGGATGGAGATGCAAAAATGAAAATTTGGAATCCTTATTCGTAATAATTATAAATTATCATATGAACATAATGGAAAAATATTATATGGGATATTTAGATAGAAATCAGACCATAATTTTACAATATATTCCTCTGGTCTTTAATATAAAACATATCTAACTAATTTGATTAGATTAAGAAAGTTAAGCACGTTAGTTAATTATAAGAAATATGACATGTTTTTCCTAAAACACTATAATCATCTTTCTTAATATCCTCCATCCTTTTTCTACTTGACTATGGATGAGGGAATATCCATAAGAATAATTTAGGAAAAACTAATAAATATGAGAAATAGTCTTATATTTATGACCAAAATTAACTCAACAATTAAGTCTCATATTAAGGATTAGAAGAGGACAAAGTAAATATGTAAAGAAATTTATCTTGATTTATGAAAAAAATATTTTTAAAAAATACTTCTGAGAATATCCAAATATCCTGTTAAAAAACGAGCGAGGACCATTTTTTTAAATAAAAAAACAGAGGAAAAGAAAGAAAGTAAAATGGAGCCTACATAAGTGGCAAAAGGCGGCAATGTTATGGGGGAGAAAGAACTGGTGGAGGGAAGAAGCATTTATGTTCCGAGAAGCTACGTCTTTGGTGATTTGTTGCTTTTCATGTTCATGCACTAACACAACTTGTCCTACTTACACGTGGTTCCGTGTCCATTGACCTAAGGTCATTTTCTTTCCATGTTTTGATTAAATATTTGGTTTTAAAAAATTCACATTAGACTCATCAAGATCAAAACATCTCTCTATTTAAAGAATACTTATAGAGCTAAAATACAAATTTATTTTGAAAGTTTTTATTCAACATTATTGGATATCTAAAAAATTTTGTGGATTCAATATCGTTCCAGAAATTTTTAAATCATAGCAATTTTGCTCAATTATTATTCACATTAGGTTTAATTATTAGTTAACTAAATATACTGTAATTAGTAGGTTCACGTGTTATCCACATCCTTTTTTTGGGTTAAAGTAAAAATCTATCCTGAAAGCTTTTACTTATAAATATTGAGTACTGAGAAGTTTGTTTAGGTTTAATATTATTCTGAAAATTTTCAAATCATAGCATTGTTGCTCTGTCTATTGTCCAGGTTAAACTTGGCCATTGGTTGGTGAAATATGTTGAGCGGGCTTGTTCACATGTCATCCAATTCGTTTTTTCTCATGTCAAATTCATAAATAAGGAAACTTCCGGTGGAGACATCAAACCCTAGGGGAAAAAAATTCCAAATACTAATACTTTTAAGTGAAAAATTTTTAGACAAATTTATACTTTAACAAAAATTACGTAGATGACCAATGAATCTACTAACTTAGCATATTTGGTTAACTAACAGTCAAATTTAACTTGGATAATGGTCAAGGTGAAATTATTATGATTTAGAAACTTCTAGCATGATAGTGCATCCAAGTGAAAATTTTTGCAGCGAATTTGCACTTTAACATTTTAGAGATATTTACAAATTAATCAAGATTTCCATATGAATAGTAAGATGCAAACACATAATATTATGAGTTATGAATAATTTTTTACTTTTGATTAAATATATGGTTTATCAAATATAAATAATGCAATTTTCTATAAATTTGTGACACATGCATATATGTATTACTATTTAATTATTATTTTGATCTTTTAATTGATTACTTGCTTTTATTTCTTTTCATGGTTTTGATTAAATATATTTTGTGTGCATTTTTTTTTCTACTTTGCTCTTTTGATCTCGGTTTTATAAATTCATAATGCTTTGAAATACTTTTGGGGTTTGATTCTTCTTAAAAAGAAGGATACTGCTATATTATATCCCATCAGTAGGGAAACATGTGCATTACTTAGATAATAAATATTATCTTTTTGTCCTTAATATAAAACTAATTAATTAAGTAATTTGAGTATATTAGAAGAGATATATAAATTAACTAATTATAATAAATTTGGCTTGATCTTTCTGAAATATTTCCGTATGATATTAGAAATTACATATTAGTTTATAAGTTAGATAAACTAGTTTTAAAATGGTAAATAAAATGAATTGAGACATGATATTTAGGATCACATCCAACCCTTAACTTTTTTTTTTTTTTTGCCAATTATATCCAACCTTTAACTAAAAAAGATAAGAGGAAGTATATAAAACAAAGTTGCATATATACACATAAAATACTGTGAATAGAAAAGAATCATATTAAGAGCTAAAACAAAGGGCTGAATCAAGATTTAGTTTCGAGGAAAAACATAAATTTTAAAGAACCTAAAATGGGTAACAATTAGATAATACTAATAAAGATATTGAAAACTTAAAAATAACTATGGTGAAATTAGTAGGCATTATATGGTGTAGTCATTTAAGCAGCATACAAACCATAAACTTCATTTTGATCAGTGGCCTATTTCTTTTTTCCTATAATGAAATTCTTTTAAGTGATTAAATTTAAAAAAAAAAACTAACAGCTTCTTCATTTAAAACTTTGTGACTTATATGCTAATTAACTCAATTAATTTTCAGCTTTTATATCATTTTTGTGTCGGCAATTTCAAGCAAATACGTGTATATTGAGGCTTAAACATTGTGAATTTTTTCTTTGGACAAAACTGCCTTTCTTTATCCTTAATTCCGTATTGATATGATAAAGAACACACCACAGAAGTTATACATGGCAAGCTATTGACGACATTAACAAGAAAACGATGAAATTAAACCGAAGGAATTTTTCAAATTTGTTTTGTTGATGTCCAGTAAAATTCTTATCCTAACGAAATACTTTCTCCTAAATGTATAAAAACTCAGTGATCTGGTTCAGTCGGTCCAATTCAAATAAGTCATACAATAAAATCATACTAGATCGGACCAAACTGGCTGGTCAACCTTAACCGGGTTCAAGACCAAGTGATGATCACTTGGTTTGGTTTGATCTAGTTCAAGTGTGGTTTTTAAAATTTTTTGTAATTTAGATGTTGATTTTTATTGTTGTTAGAGATTTTTATGAATTTATAATTAAGTTTTAATGTTTTCGGATGGCCACCGTACTGCTTAGACTAGTCCAGGTAGTCTAAGACCTCAATGAATTTTTTAAAAATATTTTGTAATTTGGATATTGCTTTTTATTGTTGATAGGGATTCTTATGGATTTATAATTATGTTTTAATGTTTTTGGATGAGCTTTACATGATTATAGGTATTTTTATTATTTTAATTATGTTTATCAGGTTAAAATCTTACTTCTCATAGAAAAAAAATTGAGATTTTAGACTACCTCGATTAATCCAAGCATTACGATGGTCCAAATTTAGTCCAATTTGGCCTCATGTTCCCACTCGACCAAACCGGATCATTTGTTGCCAAGCTCAACTCATTCCAAAAAATAGACTAAACTTTGAGTCAGGCTTTGATCTAGTTTGGTTTGTTTCTTGCATAACCTCACTTTCTCTGATCCTATATATAAATTATAATTTTTAAAATAAAATTGATTTTTTTATAAATTATACTTTTTATTTGTCAAAAAAATTAATTCACTTCCTTAGTCTTAAGAGGTGTTTGGATACTTCTTCAAATCATGGTTTGGAGAAAAAAAACTGTCCAAACACTATGTTTTCTCAAAATCACTTTTGAATTTGAAATCATGGCTTGAATAAAAGTAACCAAACACCATAATTTTTTACAAAATCACTTTTAATTTGAAACCATGGTTTTATATGTGAAACCATGGTTTTTTATAAGGTGAATTTTGTTTGCTTTTGAAGGTATAAAATCATGATTTGGGATATAAAAATATATACAGATATCAATTACTACTTTGATTCTTAATAAAAAAGTTAGATACCTAATTTATCAATATTAAAAAAATTAGTTAAATTATTCATTTATAATAAATTGGTGTTGTATTGTCTAAAATATTTGTTAATGATATACATTTGGACTACTATTTGATGGAACATTTAACGTTACAAATTAACATGATAACTACTTTAAAAAAAAGGATAAACGAGTGAGACAAGGTAAATTGATGTCTTATATTCAAAATCAAATTGAATACCCAATTAGTTCTTATACCAAGGACATAAGATAATATAAATTAATTATATTTTTCATATTATCATTTATTATTTATAAATTTATTATTTCAAACAAAAATATAAATTAAAATCTATTTTTTATATAATTATCATATTATGTTCTTTTTAGTAATTTGCGTATAAAAAAAAGATTCTGATAACAAACATGCAAACATTCTTACTTCATCAAAATCATTTTTTTCCAAAATTCATTCTTTCAAAATCCATTCACAACATTTATTTTTTCAAAATCTATTTTCTGAACTATAATTTGATTCCATCTAAATGTCTCCTTACCTGTTATTGATTATATGTCTTTACACTAATTATGACGCCTTAAAAAATATATATTTTATTCTCTCTCTTTTGGTAAATTCTCTTTTAAATATTTTTGTTACTTATTCTTTCTCCCCCTCTTCATAAACAAGAGTATATTTAAAAAAAAATAGAATAGTTTTATATATTTATATTTTTAATTAATTTTAAATGACTTCTTGATTTACATTGTTACATATAAATTGGATATTTATGTAGCGTGCG